TGTACGGGGTGTGGGGAAGCCAGGGGGGGGGGCGTGGGGCAGTGTTCCTGGGGGCCGGCCCGGCAGAGCGGCTGTTCTCCCGGCACGGTCAGCTGGAGAGGGACCGCCAAGGGGTGGGCAGTGGTGGGTTCTGATCCATTCGGAGCCCAGTCCGCGGGTTGGCTCACCGGCCACGTGTGCTCACAGCATCTCCAGGAGTCACATGTCCTCTTCCCCTCCTTCCAGGTGGCCATGCTTCCAGTGTGTCCCGTGTGGGTCTGTGAGTGTGTGTCCTGGAGGGGTGTGCGGTGTGTGTGGGAATGACCGAGAAAGGGGTGGGTCTGAGGGTGGCTCTGAGCCCCCGCTGCCTGGGAGGAGGGAGCAGGGTGTCTGCCTCAGCCTCGGTGCCGTGCCGTCAGCAGGGCCGCCGAGAGGGCCGTGGCCTGAGCAGCTCCGGCTCCTCCGCCGGCCGTGGCTGTGTCCAGACAGGGCTGGAGGCTGCGTCCCAGCTCAGCAGGGAGGCTGGGGTGGAGCAGCGTCTTCCTCGGGTGGGATGGGCGTGGCGTGTGGAGCGCCTGCCAGGAAGCTGCCGTCAGGGTTCCGGGAAGCTCCCGGCCTGGCCCACCGGCTGTGCGGGCTGACGGGGCGGTGGCTGCTGCCTGAGGCGGCTGCTCCATACAGACTGGACTCTCCAAGGCCTCAGCCTGTTTCATCTCAGTGATACCAGGAGACACCAACATGTTGGTGCTCTTAGCGTGCACACACACATGCACACATGCACGCATGTGCAGATGTGCTCAACATCACGTAGCAGCCAAGGGCTTAGAGCTGCACGCACATGCCAGCCTGTGGTGCAGAAGGTGGAGAAATCCGAGGCGGGCAGGGCGGAGGCTCCCAGCCAGACCCTGCCCTGCGGACCCGTTAGAGGAGGAGGGCGGGGTACAGCAGGACCCCCAGGCCTCCGGGAGGAGCGGGTTGGCCCGAGGGCAAGGCTGTGCTCCTGGGAGGTGGCCAAGGGCTGCAGACAGACCAGGTCACCCACCCCCATCCCCCATCCCCCATCCCCCATCCCCCCATGAGGCGCTGCTGTCCTTGGTGGAACCGTGCAGGGCCAGGGGCCAGCGTCCTGAAGGTGGTTTAATGGGGTGAGGGCGCCTCCAGAGGAGGGGGTGTGTCCTGGGGCTGCCGCCCCCGCACGTCCTCAGCGCGCCCCCTCTCCCCAGGGTCCCCCTTCGCCCGCGCCAGCCTCAAGAGCGGGAAGACGGAGGGCTCGTCCTACTTCCGCAGGAAGGAGAAGATGTTCCGCTTCTTCGTGCGGCGCATGGTGAAGGCGCAGAGCTTCTACTGGGTGGTGCTGTGCGTGGTGGCGCTCAACACGCTGTGCGTGGCCATGGTGCACTACAACCAGCCGCAGCGGCTCACCACCGCGCTGTGTACGTAACGGGCACCACCCGCCCCCCGTCCCCCAGCCACCTCCAGGCTGCAGCCTGGAACTCCTGGGCCACCTCCATGACCTTGGGGCGCCCTGACCCCGTGCCAGCAGGCTGCTCAGGCCCATGCCAGGGCTGCCCAGGCCTGGGCCCTGGGCCCTGGATCCAGGAAGCCGAGCTGATTGGCTCAGCCTTACCTTTCGGGAGTGAGACGAGGGAGGGTCTGGGCGTGGGGGGGGGGATGGCCAGGCACAGCCAGCCCAGGCAGACTGGGTCCTCCCTGTGGGGCTTTAGACCTGCAGGCCAGGCACAGAGCTGCTCTGTTCATTTTCCACAAGATGGCGCTCCCGCCGGGCACCCCCCCCCCCCCCCCAGGGGAAGGCAGGCTCCGGGGGCTCCTCTGGCCATTCCCACCCTCTTGTTGATTGGCTGGACCTGGGTGTGTCCGTCACCAGGCTGATTTACAGCCCTGAGTCTGTGAGCCACGACCAGGGCCTCGGGATCTGAGTCCTGAGTGGCCTTGGCCTCCGCGGCAGTTCCAGGAGGCAGAGGAAGGCAGCTGGGAAGGGGCTCCTTGTCCTTCCAGGCGGGTGGCCCCAGGCTCTGCAGGCCACGGAGCTGGAAGCTGAAAGAGCTGCCAGAGCTGTGCAGACAGGCCAGGCTGGAAGGCTCCCCTGAGGCCGGGCCTGGTGTCCGCTGGGCTGGGCTGGAGCCGGAGGGAGGAGGCTGCGAGCTAACCCCCTCTTCTCCGGCTTCTCCTAGACTTTGCAGAGTTTGTTTTCCTGGGTCTCTTCCTCACAGAGATGTCCCTGAAGATGTACGGCCTGGGGCCCAGGAGCTACTTCCGGTCCTCCTTCAACTGCTTCGACTTCGGGGTGAGTGAGAGGCCAGGCAGGTCAGCACTGGGGTCCAGGTGTGCCAAGCTGGACCTCGCCAGAAGGTGCAACAGCCCCCTCACTGCCCAGCCAGGGGGACTCGGGGCTGCGGGACGGTGACCCCGTGGTCAGCAAGGCTGCCTGTGGACGGCAGGCGCAGGGTACAGGGGGCCTGACCCGGCCTGGCCCTGATGGTGGGGCGCTTCCCCAGGCTGCCCGCCTTGGGATTTCCCCCTTCCCTTCCCTGTCTGTCCCTCCGTCCGTGTCCTCCTGGGCCCGTGGGCCCGCAGCTGCGTGCGAGGCGCGTGCTTGAGCTTGAGCTGCTGCAGAGGCAGCAGGGCGGGGCTGCAGGGGCGCCGTGCACACGTAGGTCGCCTGTGCCCAGAGCCTGACCCCCCTCTCCGCAGGTCATCGTGGGGAGCATCTTTGAAGTGGTCTGGGCGGCCATCAAGCCGGGAACCTCCTTCGGGATCAGCGTGCTGCGGGCCCTCCGGCTGCTGAGGATCTTCAAAGTCACCAAGTACGCCCCTGCCTGCTGCGGGGCGCGTGCCAGCAGCCGGGGCAGGGCTGTCCCGGGCATTCGTGGGGCGGCGTGCCGGCAGCCGGGCAGGGCTGTCCCGGGCATTCGTGGGGCGGCGTGCCGGCAGCCGGGCAGGGCTGTCCCGGGCATTCGTGGGGCGGCGTGCCGGCAGCCGGGCAGGGCTGTCCCGGGCATTCGCTGGGCGCGTGCCGGCAGCCGGGCAGGGCTGTCCCGGGCATTCGTGGGGCGGCGTGCCGGCAGCCGGCCAGGGCTGTCCCAGGCATTCGTGGGGCGGCGTGCCGGCAGCCGGGCAGGGCTGTCCCGGGCATTCGTGGGCGGTTTTGCTCTCAGCTGTCTGGAAGCTGTCTCTGTGGCTCAGAATTGTATAGACACAGAAAGCGATCGCACAGGCCCGGCCAGCAGCCCACCTGACTTCGTCTCAGCCTCGTCAGGAGCATGTCCGTCCTTGGGGTCGTCCCGACAGCCTCGGTGTTGCTGGCGGCCTCTCTAGCTCCCATCAGCGCGCCCACTCATCAGTCCCTCCTGCCAGGCTCTGACCGGCTGACCTGAGCCCGCCTGGCCCCTGCCGCCAGGCTGCGCCGCCCTGTGCCCGGGCCGCTGTCTGACGGCTCCCACTTATCCCTGGGGTGCTGAGTCACCGGAGCAGCGAGCTGCTCTGTTTTGCCCACAAGGAGGCTAAGGCGGGCAGAGGTGGTGCGGGGAGTGAGGACAGCTGGGCTGGATCGCACCTTCATGGCTAGAGCTGTGTGACGGGGCCAGGAGACAGCAGCCTGGGTCCCAGCGGCCGGAGGGCAGGAGGCCCCTGCACTGGGCGGCTGGGTGTGGGCCCAGGATGCCCCAGGGCGGAGCTCAGCTGTCAGTGGGCCTCGGCGGGGCCGGCTCCGGTCCCTCCAGGGGGCTCGGCCTGTGTCCGGGTCTGGGCTGGTCACGGTGCCCGGAGGGGAAGCTGGGTGCTCTGGGCTCGGCACAGCAGGAGCGGCGGTAAGGGGTTCAGGCTCTCTGAGGGTCGGCAGCCAGGCTGTGGGGACTTCAGGGACCGTGTGCTCGAGAGCCCGGGAGAATGAGGGAGTGAGGCATGGAGGGTGCTGAGGGCTTGGGCCAGGCTTCACGCCCGCTGCAGTGGCCTTTGCGGGGATGGCGTGGAGTTGACTGCGTCCTCACGCAGGTCCTCACTCAGGTCCTCTGCAGCTGCCATGCGGCTGTCCTCACACACAGCGCTGCCCGTGGCCCTGGAGGCGTTGGGTGTGGGGTGCAGAGGGGCCTGGATGAGGCCTGGTTGGGGGGGGGGGGCTGGGGGAGCGGCGTGGTTCTGCTGAGCGGAGTGATGGGGCAGGTGTGAGGGCCCCGGGGACAAGGGCGGTGGGCCGGGCTGCGGTGGGAGCTCCGCTCCCTCCAGGCGCGTGGCCCTGGGGGTCAGGAGGTCCCGGAGCCACGTGTGACATGAGAGCGGGCATCCCGCCAGGCGCAGCCTGTGCTCACACCCCGTCCGTCCGCTCCGACAGGTACTGGAACTCCCTGCGGAACCTGGTGGTGTCGCTGCTCAACTCCATGAAGTCCATCATCAGCCTCCTGTTCCTGCTCTTCCTGTTCATCGTGGTCTTTGCCCTGCTGGGCATGCAGCTGTTTGGGGGACAGTACGTGGGGGGGGGGTGCTCAGAGCAGTTTTCAGGGGACAGTATGTGTGTGTGTGGAGGGGTGTCAGAGCAGCTGTCAGGGGACAGTACGTGTGTGTGGGGTATGCTCAGAGCAGCTGTCGGGGGACAGTACGTGTGTGTGGGGGTGTCAGAGCAGCTGTTCGGGGGACAGTGTGTGTGTGTGGGGGGGTGCTCAGAGCAGCTGTCGGGGGACAGTACTTGTGTGTGAGGGTGCTCAGAGCAGCTGTCGGGGGACAGTATGTGTGTGTGTGTGTGTGTGTGTGGGGTGATCAGAGCAGCTGTCGGGGGACAGTACTTGTGTGTGGGGGGGTGTCAGAGCAGCTGTTCGGGGGACAGTATGTGTGTGTGTGGGAGGGTGCTCAGAGCAGCTGTCAGGGGACAGTGTGTGTGTGTGGGGGGGTGTCAGAGCAGCTGTTTGGGGGACAGTACGTGTGTGTGTGGGGGTGTCAAAGCAGCTGTCAGGGGACAGTATGTGTGTGTGTGTGTGGGGGGGGGGTGATCAGAGCAGCGGGGCTGGCCCAGCCGTCTCCGCCTGAAGGTCACCCACAGCTGTGAGGGTGCCGAGCTGCGGGCCCGGTGTTGGCTCCTGATGGGCTGCCTCACTCAAGGCTCCTTGTTTTTCTCAGGTTCAACTTTAAAGAAGAGACTCCAACGACCAACTTTGACACCTTCCCTGCCGCCATCCTCACTGTCTTCCAGGTAAGGCCCCAGCCCGGCCCCTCGGGCCCACTCGGCTCTCCCGTCTCCTCAGGCCTCTGTAGCCAGCTCTGCGCACCCCACGGGAGGGCCGGGCCGCGGGGCCCATGTCCTGTGACGCCGCCCGGGAGCTCCACTGTCACCTCTCAGCCCCAAGGACCCGGCTCCACAGCGGTTTGTCCCTGAGAATAAAACAGCAAAGGGCCCCCCGCTCGCCGCCAGTCCTCTCCTGTCTGCGGGTGCCTCCCCCCCGGCCCCGGGTGTACCCCCCCCCCCCACCTCCCTGTGCGCCCCAGAGCTTCCGAGGGCCCTCCTGCTCCAACACTTACCCCCTGGGCTGCCGGCCTCACCAAAGCTGGAGCCCACAGCGTGTGCCCGCCCAGGGGCCTTCCAGCCTGGCTGGTGCCGCAGAGGAACCATCCACACGTCTCCCACCGCGACCCCGTCTCCCGTCCCGGTGGGAGCCCCGTGGCCTCGCCCGGGGAACCTCCTGCTTCTGGCCAGCTGGGACCTGCCTGTCCCCGCCCGCGTCCGGTCTCACCTCACCCACAGCCGCTCCGTTTCCTGAAGTGGGCACGCCTGCGCCCACGCCGCTCCCCCCGGATGCTCACAGCCCCGGCTCCCACAGCCGGGCCCCGAGCTGGTTAGCACTGGGGGAAGGAGGGCCCTGCGCCTGGGGCACAGGAGTGGTGTCCAGGCTGGGCCACGGGCAGAGGGAGGCCACGGCCTTTGCCAAGCATGACACTGCCCCATGCCAGGCAGGAGCGCCCTCTGACTGTGGGCCACGGGCCAGCCTGCCAGAGGGATGCGGACTGCCAGGTGAGGGGAGATGGCAGGTTGGGTCCAGCCGGAGTAGGAAGGAGCTTGGGCGTGGCAGAAGGGGGCACCCGCCTGGGCGCCGCGGTGCCACACAGAGAGGGTCTGCCCAGGGGGCTCCCAGCGGGCAGCCATGTGGTCGGCGGTCAGAGCCGCGTTGCCGTGTCTGTTGTTAGGAAGGACCGGGGCGTGGTGGTGGCGGTGCTGGGGGCCCAGGGAGGAGATGGTCTGGTGGATGGTGCTCAGGTTAGACCCGGGCCTGTGGCCGACACAGAAGTGACGGTAACTGGTTATAAACGAAGGGCTGGCCGCGTGGACAGCAGTGCCGTGGGCTGGAGGCCAGAGCCGTGCGGGCGCAGGGCCCAGGCACCCGCGGGCGGGAAGAGGCAGGTGGGCGGGCGTCCCCGCACGGACGGGCTCTGCGCTGGGCGGGGGGTGGCCCAGAAGAGGCGGAGGGGAGCTGGTTGGCTGTGGGAGGCCGAGACGAGCACAGGGCAGGCGCTGGGAGGCCCACAGGATGGTAACGGGCCGGAGGCCTGAGACCCGGGCCCGGAGGCCCTCTCACGGGAGCCTGCAGACCATGCGGCGGGTGCTCTTCCCCGGGGGCCTTGGACACCCACAGTCTGAGCCGAGCTCGCCCTGGGCACGTGGAGGCGACGGGAAAGCGACTGAGAACGAGTGTGCCAGAGGTCCTCGGAGGGGGAACGGAAGGACTGTCGGTCCCACAACATGGCAGCCGGGCCCTGAGCGCCACCCGCAGGCTGCGCGGAAAGGCAGCTCGTTGGGTGAACAGGGCGTGCTGTTCGGGGCCCGGGAGGACGGCGAGTTCACCTGCGGAGCCACGGGCGCGGCCACTCGGGTGGGCGGCCAGCACTGTTCCAGAATGCGCCGAGAGGGTGTGTGCTCCGAGGCCAAGCAGGTGAAGAACGCGAACTGGAACCCTCCCAGGCCCGTGCGAGGACGAGAGCCAGTCCACCTGGAACACCAGGCGTCCTACGGAAGAACGAGTCTGACGGAGGCCTCTGAGCAGGGTGCCGGGAGCCCAGCTTTCACATTCCGGGACAATCCAGTCCCCTGGGGCCCAGCAGCGCTGCGATTCAGGGGGGGGGGACTACCACGCGGAGACAGTGTGGGGGGTGCACCACCCCGCCCCCGGCTAACAGCACCAGCCGTCCGTCTCCACATTCAGTAAGGCGAGGGCTTCGAAGAAGCAAGTGCATCCAACCATCCCAAGAATAACTGGAAACCCAAACCACTCCGGAAGCGGAGCAGTTAGAGACCTGCCCGCTCAGCCCCCGCGAGCTGCGTGAGTGTGAGAGGAAGTTACTGCCATCTTGTGCAGAGACGCCGGGGGGGGGGGGGGGCCCGCTCTGTGCGGTGGAACAGCTGATGGAACGTGGGGGCCGCCGCAGGCAGGCACTGCATGAACGGCTAATCCGATCAGGAGCGTTTCAAACGATTTCCACCATCGGCTCGGAATTATCCTCGAGGCACAGAGGATTGGACGCGCGGAAGGCTGTTCATGTAACTCGGCTTCTTCACAGATGAAAAAGGAAACCTGTGGGATCAGAAAGAGGATGTGAGCTTCACCAACGCACAGCCACCGAGAACGGAGACGCAGCGAGATGGGCCAGCGTCGTCACCTGCCCGCTGGCAGCTGGGGGGCATGGCTCAGGGCTCTGCCTGGTGCTTGCCTGATAAAACCAACACTGACCCCAAAGGCGGCCTCTGCAGAGTCCACCGGCTCCTCAGAACAGCCGCCGGGAAAGGGAGCAGTTTCTCGGCTGCCAGAATGAGGAAAGACGCCCTCTTCACGGAGAGAAGTGCACAGAGCCCGGGCTGTCCCTGCGGAGGGCGTGGCGGTGGGTCAGCCACGGAGAAGAACTGGAGGTTGGACTCCTACCGGCACCAGGTCTGGATTTCAGCTCAGATGAATTAAGACCTAAATGTGAAAAGAAATCTGAAACTGCGGAAGACATACAACTGCGACGCCACGAGCTCAGAGGGAAGGCCTTCCTAAAGAGGACTTAGAAAGCAGAGCGCACCGGAAACCATAACAAACCTGGCCGCTAAGGATTTCTGTGCGTCAGAGGACACCATAGAGGATTAAAACAACGACATCGAGGACAGGAGACATCCCGCAGTGCCAGCAAGCCGCCAGGACCAGTCCATGCTCCTCAGCTTCCGCGATCAGACAGGACAGAGCATGTGGAGGACGCGGCAGCGGCGAGCCGGCGCCCGCGGGAGAGGATTGACCGCGGCCGGCGCAGCTGGGACACGGAAACCCAGCGGCCGGTCTTAGAGGCGATGTGGAAGATCGAGGGTCCTTCATGCAGCTGCTGTGTGGAGACCCCCTGAGAGCAGTTCCATGCCTGGTCCGAGGGCCTTGGCGCAGGCAGCTGCGGCTGTAGGTGGGGAGAGGTGGGCTGGGAGAGAGCCAGCCTGTGCCCTCAGCAGCTTACCTCCCCCCACGGGTCCAGACGGACTACCTTGGGGTGCTGACGCCAGTCTGGGGTGAGTGCAGCGGCTCTCCGCGGTGGGAGCTCCCGGAAAGTCCAGGATGCAGCACCGACTGCCCGCCAAGTCCCACTCCAGACCTGCAGCCAAACCCCGGCTGCCACCACGGGCGGGGCCTGTCGGGAGGGAAGCGGGGGGAGGGAGGGAGGGAGGGGTGTGCGCAGAGGTTCACGCAGCCGGTGGGTCTGTCTGTGTGGACTCGGATGAACTTGGATTTGTCTGCGTGGACACGTGAGTGCAGTGGGAGAGCACACGGGTGCTGTGTTTAGAGTCGTGTGGCGTTGACTCCAGACGGGCCTGGCCTGGTGCGGGGCTGTGGGACCCGATGGGCAGCGCGGTGTGAGGTGTCCTTCTCAGTGCGCACACAGGGACGGGTCACCGTCCTCTTGGACTTCCCGGAAAGGAAGTGGAGGAGATGGGTCTCCTCACGGAGCGAGAACCGCACTGGCCCTGGCCAGTGGCAGGAAGCGGGGGCGGAGGCCTGAGCAGCCGCTCCCGGAACCCATGTCCTGGCTGCCAGGCAGTGACCTCGGGCTCCCGGGCCCCGTTTTTCAGCTCCCAGCTCCGTCCTCTCCTTGCTCTTCCCCGTGTTCTGCTTGGGGCTCCCTCCCATGTTTGGCTGAAACCCTTGTTAAGTAAGGTGACCAGACGTCCCGCTTTTGAACAATTTGTCCTGCATCCTGCAGCATTTAAAAAAAAAAAATCCCGATTTTTGGAAAGATTACTTTTTTAAAACGCCGCAGGACGTGGGATAGATTGTTAGAAATCGGGGCTGTCCTGCCAAAAGCGGGACGTCTGGTCACCTTATTGTTAAGGCCCCACCTGTTGGCAGCCGTGTCCTTCCGGAAGCTTTAGTGCAGGAGGGCGTGGCCCCCTTTCCCTCCGGGCCCCCTCATCTGCACGCGTGCGGGTGTGCGTGTGCGTGCACCTGTGCCCAGGGGCCCTGGGAGCGATGCTGGGACAAGGTATGTGTGTGCACGTGTAGGGGGTGACGTGGGTTTGTGTGCCCGAGTGCGTGTGCGTGCGTGGCGAGGCGTGTCCTCGGTGCTCGCGCTCCGCAGATCCTGACGGGAGAGGACTGGAACGCGGTGATGTATCACGGGATCGAGTCGCAAGGCGGCGTCAGCAAAGGCATGTTCTCGTCCTTTTACTTCATCGTCCTGACGCTGTTTGGAAACTGTATCCTTCCTGCGGGCGGGCTGCGGGCAGCAGGGGCCGCAGGCCTGACCCGCACACGCCGGCTGGGTGCTGGCCGTGGGCCATGTCCTGTCCTGTCCAGTCGGAGCTGCTCCTGCGCCTGCACGTCCCCCTGGGGCAGCTGCGGAGGGTGCCTGTGCTCGGGTGGGTGTGGAGGGGCCGAACGTGGGCAGGGCCTGACCCACAGCCTCATCGCTGTCACGCTGTCACGGAGCAGCTGCTGCTCGCAGTGGCACTGGCAGAGCCCTCCTCAGGGTGTTGGCCCCACGGGTGGGGCGGGGTGAGTGTAGGCCTGCAGGGAGAGCCTCGGGGCCTGGCACACGGGGGCCTGACTGGTGGGACTGTCCCCGCGGACACGGCGTGTGTGAGACAGCGGTCGTCACGATGGGAGGTGCTGCTCACCCCCCGGGACCCAGGGCGGGGCCCAGCGTCTGCAGTGCCCAGAGCGGGTGGTGGAGCAGGAGCCAGGCCGGGCATGTGGAGGGCTGGAGTGCTGCCCCGGGCCTGGGCGGAGACAGCGGCTGCCCGGGTGGAGATGGGCTTGTGGGGGCGCGGCTGCAGTGCCAGCACCAGCCAGGCCCCCCGAACCTGTCTGCGGAGCACCTGGCTGTGACATGCTCCTTGGAAGGAAGCAGCAGGCCTGAGGGGAAGGAGCCGGGCGGCCTGCCCTGCTCTAGTGGCTCTGGGGTTGGCCTCGGTGCCGCGGGCTCAGCTCGGACGTCCTTGCTGCTCGAGGCGGCAGGGTGAGCCTGGCCTGGGATCTCCCCGAGGTGCCGTCTTGGGGGCTGCGGGTCTGAGCCCTGTGCAGCCGAGAAGCAGGTGGTGTTAGTCCTGTCTTCTGCCTCCAGGCCGCGGGGACGGCACAGGAGGCGGCGGCCCATGGGCCCTCCCAGGAGGCAAGGGTGGGCAATCCCACAGCCTGAGCTTCCGGCTGCAAAGTCTCCCTGAAGAGCTGGGCTGGGGGAGCGGGCATGAGGGCGGTACTGGGTGGCGCTGAGCCTCAGCCCCCCAGTTGCTCTGGGCACTGTCGGGATGCCAGGCTGCAGGCCCGGGCTCTGAAGGAAGGCGGTCGCCAAGGAGAGGAGGCTGAGGGGTCAGACTGGGTGGGCCCTGTGTCCCTGAGGCTGTGGGTGCCCGTGTGGGGACAGGCTCCTTTCCTTACCTGGAGCCACCAGACACCTTGCTGAACGTCTTCCTGGCCATCGCCGTGGACAACCTCGCCAACGCCCAGGAGCTGACCAAGGTACATGGGGGGACTGGGGACGAGGCCTGCAGGCAGGTGCCGGGAGGGGCGGGGTCGATCCACGTCGCTCCGGATGAGGGAGTGTGCGAGGAGGCTCAGGTCATGGGTCAGGAGCCCGTGTGACCCTGTCCGAGAGGCGGGTGGGCAGAAGCCAGGCCATCACTAGGGTGGGGAACAGCACCGAGGCAGCAGGAGCCACCCCGCCAGGAAGGCAGGCGCCCACAAGGGCAGCTCTCAGGGAGCCACCACCTGGGAGCAGAGGCCAGAGGCAGGAGCAGGTGCTGAGGGAGGCGCGGCCCAGGCAGGATCGAGATCAGGAGGGGCCGCGTATTGGGGTCCAGGGAGCACCCAGCTCTGAAGACTCGAGAGCCACGAGGGACCCGTGCTGCTCCGGGTGCGGGGGCCCCACGTGTGTCCCCGTGGGGAGGGGACCCTGTGGCAGCGGATGGAGGTGAGCGGGCCAGGCGGTGCTGTCAGACCTGGGCCTGGCAGAGCAGCTGCGGCCTCAGCACGGCGCAGCCGGACGGCGCCTGACCTTTAATGCCAGATCCCTTGCTGCGTCTCCATCACCGCCGCCAGCGGGCATGTGCTGCTACACGCCTCCCGCGGTGCCCCTGCAGCAAACACGGCCCCCTGCCTGGTCCCTGCACGCCGCCCGCAGGCCTGCTGGCCGCCCACGGTTCCCCGAGGGGCGCTTCGCGAGCCCAGAACTGCCTCTTCACAGACACGGTGACCTTTCTGGCTTGTCAGTCTCTCCAGATGCCACCTGTGAACTGTGCGTGCCCCGTCCAGCCCGCCTCAGTCCAGCACATGCCCACTCTCCACACACTGTGCTGGGCGGTGTGGCCGGGCTCCCTGAGGAACCAGGACAGCTCAGGGCGGCTCTGCCCTCTGCTTCCCCACCCCTTCCCCCAGGTCCTGGCAGGTGCGGCAGGTGGAGCGGCCGCCACCTCCTTCCTTCGCTTCTGCTCAGCCTCCTCCCCACCAGGCTGGCCCGGGCTGCCTGTGGGTCCGAGCTTCTCCCTTGCTCTGGCCCCTGGCTTCTGAGGGCTTGGGGGTCCCCCTGGCCCCCCAAGTCTATTGTCGGGAGGGGCCAGTGCTGAGCCTCACCTTCCAGGAGCAGGTGGGAGTGGCCCGGGTCCCTGGAGGGGTGTCTGTGCTGGGGGACCGTGTGTCCATGAGCACTTTAGGGGTCAGCAGTTTGGGGCCGCGTGGACTGGGGTGCAGTAGCGTTGGGCTTACACCTGCTATCCTGGGGTGCCGCTGTGGGTGCGGATGTGCGGGGAGCGATGTCAGGGCCCGGCTCCGGAGCCCCTTCCTTTGGGCGTGGGGGGCTGTGCGTGTCAGACCGGCCGAGGCCCCGAGCTGGGACCCGCTCTCCTCCATGTCCCCGTAAGCAGTCGTGTGTTCCTTGAGGCTGAGGCTGTTTGGACAACACTGTCTGATGTCCTCGCCCCTGAGGCCAAAACCCACCGTCAAGTCCAGAGCCAAGGACAGGCCTGGGCGGCTCTGTGGGCGCCGAGCTTGGCGTCCTCTCTGATGTGGAGCCAGCGGGGCCTCATGGCTGCCACATTGCGACCCAGAGCAGGTTCCAGGGTGTTCTGGGCCGTGTTGGGAATGCCAGCCCCGGGAGCGGGGGGCTGGGGGGGAGAAGCTGGCGGCCCACAGAGCCCGCTGGTAGGGTGTAGACCCAGGAGCAGAGCAGGGGGGCTTTGCCCGGTGACGGGGGCCGGGACCAGAGGCCTGTCCATAAGTCCATTGGTTCGTGATGTGAGCCAGGGGTCCCCCCAGGAACTCGGTGTGGACGGGAGCACAGGGCCAGGCCCCGAGGGTGGCTGTCTGGGAGCGGGGGCGACAGGGCCGGGACAGGGGGACAGGCAGGAGAACCCAGAGGCTGTGAGCGGCCTTTGCCTGGCACTCCCGGTGGGGGGCAGCTGCTGGGAGGACTCAGACTCCAGTGGGGTGCCCGGGCCCCGCCTCACAGCTCTGTGCAGAGGCTGGCTGGTTCCAGAGCGGCAGGTGCTCCCGAGGCGGGGCAGGTGCGGCTTGCATTTTGACAGGAAGCCGGAGGTCCCTGGGGCGGGAGCGCTGGAGACGGCGTGAGGGAGGGCGGCTGAGGCCGGACACGGGGCCGTCACCTTGGTCAGCGGGCGGCACCAGCCTGTGTGGCGGGGCGTCGTGTCCGTGTGGAGCTGCTGCCTGGCCAGGGTCGTCCCGGGAGGACGGGGCGGACAGCGCTGAGCGCAGCACATGCTGTTTGCTCCCAGGATGAAGAGGAGATGGAGGAGGCCGCCAACCAGAAGCTCGCTCTGCAGAAGGCCAAGGAAGTGGCCGAAGTCAGCCCCATGTCGGCCGCGAACGTCTCCATTGCCACGTAAGGCTCCTGAGAGCGGGAGGGGCCGGGATGGGGCCGAGTCCACGCGGGGCCCTCAGCGGGGCACCCACTCCAGAGGCTTCCGCAGGCAGGCCCTGCCCGGGCTGGAGCCTGCGGGGGCACCAGGAGCCGTGGTGGCAGGGAACAGCTCTCCTCTCCCGCAGGGAGCAGAGGGCTCAGCGGGGACGCGCCTGCAGCTCCCCCGTCTGGTCGGGAGCAGACCCCGCAGCGTGGCTCTGCCGGAGGCATTGGCTCCCTGACCTCCCTGGCTGCAGGGCCCCCCCTGGGCACAGCCCCGAGCCGGGCGAAGGCGTCGGCCGCTCTGTGCTCACACGCTTCTCAGAAACGTACCTTGTGAACCAGAGGTTCTCGGACCGTGGCAGCCCCTGGACTTCACGCATTTCCAGAAAGTCCTGGGGGTTGGGACTGGCCAGAGGCCCAGGGGAGGCCAGGAGGAGAGAAGGTGAAGGCTGGGCGGAGGACTTCCCGGTGGCTCAGTGCAGCCTGGGCCCGAGGCTGCAGTGGGCAGGGGCGGTCAGCCATGGAAGGCAGGCGTAGTTCAGCCCCAGGCACCCAGCACACCTCTCACTTCCCGCTGACCCCTGGGCCCAGCTCTGTGGCCGGCGCCCCTCCTCTCTGACGTGGTCATGGTGCCTGTGCTGCCGAGGTGCGTGCTGGCCCGGGGGCGTCTGGCTGTGTGCGTGTACACGGAGTGGGTGTGCTTGCATGTGGAGCGGTGTACAGCGGCCGTCACAGGGTGAGGGCCTGTCTCTGGCAGGGCGTCTGCAGGGCCTGTCTGAGCCGGGCACTGCGCATGAGGCGGTGGGGGCGGTAGAGGCGGCTCAGCCTGGGGGCTGGGCAGACGCTCGGGTGCGGGATGCTGTCCCTCGCTCTGCCTGCCCCCGGGCTGCTGCGAGGAGGTGGCTGTGCCCTCCCTCCTGCTCCTCCCGAGCCTGTGCTGCTGAGGTCAGCCTTCTGCTCGCTCACACGGCCCATGACTCTGCGGGGCTGGAGGTGAGGGCTCTGCCGGGGCCCAGCCACCCGCCAGGCTGCCTCCTCCGTCTGGGACAAAACCTCGGGGTGCAGGTGCTGGGGCCTCAGGTCAGGCCACCAAGAAAGGTGCGGACCCTCTTCCGCCGCCTCTGCTCCCTCCTGGGGCAGAGTGCGAGCTGCCACCCGGGCCCTGAGCTCAGCGGTCACAGCTGTGAGGCCTGGGCGGGCCCAGTCCCTGTGCTCCCTGTGGGCCCTGCAGGCTGTCCGGGGAGCAGAGCTGGGCTGGGTCCTGGTTGGCAGGTCCTCTGCCTCCTCGGTGGACACGGTGGGTCCGATGTGGTGGCTGAGGGCCGAGTGAGGCCTTGAGCTCCTTGGCTCAGCCCCTCCTCGCTCTGTTCTCCAGGTGTCTGTGAGGTGGTTGGGCAGCGCCTGCTCTCCCCAGGGCCATGGCCATGGCCAGCTGCTGGTGGTGGGAGAGCACAGAGGGACCTCCCCGGACCCCGCCCGCAGCCCTGCTGTGGGGTCTGACTGGGAGGACGGGTGAGGTGCCTTCTGGGCACTTGCTGCTGAGGGGCCGTCAGTGTTGGTGTCCCCGAGGCTCCCTCAGCGTGTGCCGCCGGCACGGACGGGCCGAGGGCGGGCTCTGTGGATCCCGCGGGAGATCCGTGTCCCCAGAGGTCGGCTGGAGCTGAGGGTCTGGCCTCAGTGACGGTCCCTTCAGGCTCCTGGGAGGGTGACTGGCTCCCTGTGCTGCTACCTCATCGTCCCTGGACTCCGAGTGCCCCTGCCCACACGCCCTGGCACATTTTCCACTCCCACTCGCTCCCATTTACCCACACCCCCACGCTCACACACTCACACACACACACACACATTTACCCACACTCACCACTCATCCCCACCTCCACACTCACACTCTCTCTCTCTCTCTCACACACACACACACACACACACACACACTTACCCACACTCACCACTCATCCCCACCCCCGCACTCTCTCTCTCTCTCTCTCTCTCTCACACACACACACACACACGCACACACACGCACACACACGCGCACACACACGCACATAGGTTTGTGGACACGGCCTCCAGGAAGAGGGGCCCCAGGCCACTGCCCTGCAGGGAACGGGGGCAGGAGACGCTGCTTGGAAAAGCCTCCAGAAAGGCACTGGGTGTGCTTGGCGTCACCATGGCGGGGCTGGGACGGAGCTGGTGGCCCCGGAAGTGATTCAGAGCTGGGCTGAGGGTGCTCCACCCCCGCTGAAGGCAGGTGCAGCCCTGCCGGCGGCCACAGCTGGAGGGGCAGCTGCTCTGCCCTCAGCGGCAGGACTGCCAGGGACGGGGTGCCAGGCCCCGGGTAAGGCCTCTCCTCCCGCCACCATGGGCGTGCACGGCAGCCTCACCGGCTGCCGGATGCTCTCTCTCAACTTCTCTTTTACCCAAGGTCGCGGGGACGGCTCTGACGGACGTGTGCCTGGCCTCCTGCCTGGATGCGCCCCGCAGCCCGCCCTGACGCTGCGCTCGCGTGTGTTCGTGTCCCAGGCTCTGGGGGCGCCTCACGTGTTCTGTTCTGTCTTTTGCATGTGCAGTTTTGTACGGCACGCTCGGGGTGCTGTATCTCGCAGCTCATCTGTCTCCAGCGTAAACTCGTGAGTCGCTCGCCACGACCCCCGCCCGGCTTCATGATAACACACGCAAACGCCTCCCCTAACTCTGCCCGCCCTGTCATCCGCTTTGGGGCAGCTCTGCAGCCACCGGCAACCTGGCGGGCCAGCGGGCACGCCTCCTGATGCCCCTCCCCCTCTCCTCCGCCCCCTGGTGTCCTCTTGTCTGCCGTCTGTCTGTCTGTGTGCCGTCACTCGTGTGCCTTGTCCCACGAGGCCGAGTTCCGTCAGTGCTCATGGGGACACTCGTGGGTCCTCCTGCCCCCCTTCCTCACCCGGGAGGGGCTGGATCTTCGACCCTCACGACGTCCTGGTAGCAAGAGCGGGGCTGCCTCCAGCGGGGGCCTCACCGGGGACCCCGGAGCCGAGGAGAGCCATGCAGACCCGGGCGGTGGGCTGAGGGTCACCCCGGGGCTCACCCTCAGGGCGGGCGCAGCCCTGCAGCGAGGGGTCTCTGGAGTTGCCGGGACAGTCATGCCCCCTGCACAGAGGCGGCCAGTGCCTCCTCCTGCCCGGCCACACCGCTGGGCTCTCCCCCGAGCAGGCGAGCTGCAGGCGGAGGCCCCGCGGGGAGGAGAGCTCGCGGTGGAGAGCAGTGAGGTGGGGACGGGGTGCAGGTGTCACACTGGGTCCACCGCGCACTCAGCCCAGAACACGCAGAGCGGGGTCCCCAGCACAGAGGCCCCCACAGCGTCTGCCGGGCTGCGCCTACAAGCCCACAAGGCCGCTTGACCCCTAAAGAGCCCTTCCAGCAGGACTTAGCCCGGGCTGGCGGCCAGCCACGCGGCCTGCAGGTCAGAGGGCAGCTGGCCCTGCTTCACTTTTCCCACTTGGCCTGTGGACTCGGGCAGGATGCAGAGAGGGGCAGCGTGGGTGCGGGGTGCGGGCACAGCTGCTGGAGGCACTAGCAGGAGGAGAGGCGGGTGGCGTGGCTTCAGGCGGGCACCGCAGACGGTGGGGGGCCTGGAGCTGGAGGCAGAGAGCAGCAGGCACAGGGCCTGCTCCCCAGGGAGCTGTGAGGGGCCCCGCAGTCCACCTCGGGCTGGATCCTGGGGGACAGGCCACGGAAGTGGGGCACAGCCAGTCCTGCCTGCCAGGAGGCACGGCCTGTCTCATCTGTCTGCGCGGAGAGCTGGGCCTCAGGACCGGGGCTGCGTCTGAGCGGCCGCCCCCCTGCGACCAGTGGCTTAGACGCCAGGCCCCTCTCAGTGCAGGGCTGCCTGGAGGCCGAGGCAGTGCTCTGTGCCCGCACGCCCCGCGTAGCGGCCCTGCACTGTGGTCTGCACGGCTCAGAACCCCTGAGCTCGGGATGCGGGCAGGGGCGGGGCCCGTGTGGCTCAAAGAGAAGATGGGCTGGTCACAAGGCAGCCTGGTGCTGGGTCAGAGGGCAGGGCGGGCGGGGTGGCAGGTGAAGGGTGCGTCCACAGGTAGCGGAGAGGGCAGCACTTACCCCCCATTGCTCCGCCTCCCCCGTCAGGCCCAGGGGAGGGGCAGGCATTGTGCCTGCACGGTGCCAGGACTCCGCCTTCGTCCGGACAGCCCCCCCCTCTGCAGTCATGTGGTGCAGTGCCAGGCCCCGAGTTGTGGGGCTGGCCAGGACTCCTCAGGCTGTGGCCCTAGCTTTGTGGTCAGTGCGGTTGGGGTTGGGCCAAGGACCCCATGCTCTCTTGATCCTGGCTCCGTCCGCGACGTGCTGAGGGACCCTGTGGGTGTGCCCTCCGGCTGGTCCTCACCGGGGGAGTGGGACAGCCTGACCCCAGGGAGCTGGGAGGGGGGCTGAGGGGCGCACCAGGGCCCGAGCCCAGTGTGGCTGCTGATGGACACACGTCCCCCTCGGTCTCAGGCTGCTGGTGCCTCCACCAGCGTGGCCAGGCCACCTCGGGGCAGGAGGAGCGGGACTGAGCTCAGAGGCCTGTGGGCCACGTGGCTGGGCTGCCTCGTGGGGTTTACTCAGCAGAGAGCGGCCTGCGGAGGCCTCCTGTGCCGGGGCCTGGGGAGCCCCGGCGTGGCAGCCCGTCCAGCGAGGGCTGAGCTGAACCTCAGGCCGCTGAGGCCATCCGGGAGGGTGCTCTCCGTGGAGCCAGGAGGCAGCAGGCCATTGGTGGCCACGCAGGTGGTGCCTCCTGAGAGCAGCTGGTCTGGAGTTGAGGGGTGGGCGCCCTGCTGCAGCCACTGCCTCGGGGGCGTGTGGCTCCGTCTGCCCCTGAGCGAGCCACTGCCCCAGGCCTCACTCCCTGCGCTGAGCTGTGCCATCCTGGACTGGAGGGAGGTGCCGACGGCAGCTCTGCTGTGTGCGGAGCCGCCTGCCTGTGCCCCCACCCCGCCCACCCAGATGGAGCCTCCTGGCCAGCGGCCCCCGTTCGGACACCTCCACCGCCTCATGCTGGCGCCGTCACTCCCACTGCCTGCACCTCTTGGGCTCAGGCCAATGGCCACCTGCTCAGGAGTGGCCCAGTACCCCCCACCCCGGGCTGGTGCACCCACGGTCTATGGGTCAGAGCCACCGGGGGAATTCTCTGACCCTGGGCTCCCCACCTGCCCTCCCGCACTGACTGCCAGGGCTCCTGCGCCCTCCCCTCCCGCTCCCCGCACCCACTCTGCCCTCCCTCCATCGCTGTGTCATCTGTGCTTCCCCTGCCCGCGGAGAAGGGGGTGCAAGGGTGTTCACCCTCTCCCCGCAGGCAGCAGAACGCCAAGGCGCGCTCCGTGTGGGAGCAGCGGACCAGCCAGCTGCGCCTGCAGAACCTGCGCGCCAGCTGCGAGGCGCTGTACAGCGAGCTGGGCCCCGAGGAGCGGCTGCGCTTTGCCACCGCGCGCCACCTGCGCCCCGACATGAAGACGCACCTGGACCGGCCGCTCGTGGTGGAGCCGGGCCGCGAGGGCACGCGGGGGCCGGCGGCGGGCAAGGTGCGGCCCGAGGGCGTGGAGCCGGCCGAGGGCGGAGAGGCGGCCGAGGGCGCGGACCCGCCGCGCAGGCACCACCGGCACCGCGAAAAGGACAAGGCCCCGGCCCCGGCGGGGGAGCAGGACCGGGCGGACGCCCCGAAGGCCGAGAGCGCGGAGCCCGCTGCCCCGGAGGAGCGCGCACGGCCGCACCGCAGCCGCAGCAAGGAGGCCGCGGGGACCCGGGAGGCCCGGGGCGAGCGCGGCCGCGGCCCGGGGCCCGAAGGCGGCCGGCGCCACCACCGGCGCGGCTCCCCGGAGGAGGCGGCCGAGCGGGAGCCCCGGCGCCACCGCGGGCACCGCCACGGGGACCAGAGCAAGGACGGCGCCACGCACGGTGCCAGGGGCGAGCGGCGAGCCCGGCACCGTGGCCCCCGGGCCGGCCCCCGGGAGGCGGAGAGCAGCGAGGAGCCGGCGCGGAGGCACCGCGCGCGGCACCGGGCACCGCCCGCACCCGAGGAGGCTGTGGAGAAGGAGGGCGAGGCGGACGACAAGGACAAGGAGCCGCGGGACCCACAGCCCCAGTGAGTGAGCGCGCACCGGCCCCTCGGCCTGCCGGCCACGCCCCCGCGCCGGGCCACGCCCCCGGCCACGCCCCTTCTGGCCCCGGGGCCCTGCCCGTGGAGGTGGCTAAGACAATGACCTGGGGCGAGCGGGGAGGGCACCTCTGCGAATGGCGGGTGGCGGGTGGCGGGAGGAAGAGGCTCGGGGAAGCTGTCGGAGCTGCTTTGGGACATGGTGACTCCCCACTTCCAGGGAGGAGAGGACTGGGGAGCGCTGTGTGTGGACCTCCTGCCTCGGTCCTTTGACTCCACCTTCCTCCTTTCCAACTCCGCGGGCCCTTCGGTTGCAGGGAGCCACGCTGTGACCTGGAGGCCGGCGGGACGGCGGGGGTGGGCCCGGTGCGTGCGCTGCCCAGCACCTGCGTGCAGAAGGCGGAGGAGCAGCCAGAGGATGCGGATAACCAGCGGAATGTCACTCGGATGGGCAGCCAACCCTCAGAGCCAAGTGCCACTGTGCACGTCCCAGTGGTGCCGACTGGCCCGCCTGGGGAGACCACGGCCGTGCCCAGTGAGTATCTCCCGAACCAGTAGCCAGGCCCACCTTCGAAGGCCCCGTGCCAGCGGGGGACAGAGCTGCCTCTGTGCTGGCCACACCAGGGCCTCCACGCCCTTTGCTCCCGGTGCTGCAGGCAAGCACTGCTCCGGTCGTCTGTCACTGAGGCTCTGTGCTGCCTCCAAACACATCTGCAGGTTCCCAGCCAAGTCAGTAGGGTGCTGGGGACACAGCAGGGGGCGCCAGGGCTGCCCTGAAGGGCTGCCGTCCCGGGAGGACAGGCCACAGATGCCCGGGCCAAGAACTTGTGGATGTGGAGGGCGGTGCTGGGGCGGTCTCCCACACCCTGCTGTCCCTGCTGAGCTGCCACCCTTCCCCTCCCCATGCCCACGAGGGACCGAGGTGACGAGGACAGGCCCTGCACTGTGCAGGGTGCACGGTGTGTGAGACCGAGGGCGCAGAGCATGCTCCCCCAGAGCGGAGGCCACAGCAGAGCCGACATGATGTCCATGAAGCAGGCCAGCTGCTGCCACACGCCGGCCTGTGCTGGCCCGTGTCCACACACAAACACGTGCCTGCACCCACTCCCACTCGGGTGCCCTTCCCTGGGTCTGTGGGCCAGGGTGCCCTCCCATGGAGGACAAGGGAGAGTGCCCGGCTCTGGCTGCCTGCCTCCTCTCCTCTTCCTGTTTCACCTCCATGGATGCTACTGACTCGTCTTCCCAGACTCCAGCCGCCAGCCCTGCCCTGCTCCCTGGACCAGCTGGGCCGAGCCCGGCAGCCACCTGGCTTGTCCATGGGTCCAGGTGACCTTTTCCAGAATGTGACATGGTTGGAGTCACTTGTGTGCAGCCTTGTCAGTCTGGCTTCTCTCCCTCAGCCCCCTGCGTGTAAGGCTCCTCCGTGTCTCAATGGTTCACTCTCTGAGCCCCAAGTGATGGTCCACTGTCGGACAGACCAGTGTTTTACCATCTGCTGCCCACTGGAGAGGGTTCTGTTGCAGATGTCGACAGTCCTGAGTGAAGCTGCCGTCACGTGCGGACAGACTGTGTGGACATGTTTGGATCCTTTGGGTAAACGCCCAGGAGAGCAATGGCTGGGTCCGATGGCAGAACACGTTTACTTTTGTGAGAAAAGGCCCAAGTGGCTACTCACCGAGCACGTCCCCCAGCAGGCGGCGCCAGCGTCGGGTGTGGTCAGCGTCCCGGTTCTGGCCTCGGGGGCAGGGGGGGGGGGCACGGCAGGGGAGGGGCCACGGGCAGGGGGTGGGTGGGACCAGGATGGTTGGAAGTTGCCCCTCCGGGTGACGTGGTGTGGGGTGTCTTTTCCTTTGCCTGTTTGCCATCGGTGGATCCTCTTTGGTGTGTGTCTGCTAAGGATTTTGACCCATATTTTAGGCAGGTTGTTTGCTTTCATACTGCTGAGTTCTAAGATTCTCTGTACGTTTTGGATGAGTCTGTTCCCGGAATGTCTCTGGGAAGGTTTCTCGCAGTCTGGGCTTGTCTTTTCTCCGGGCTCGTCCATGCAGACGGAGCTGTTCACTTCAAAGGAGCCTGTTCGCTGGCTCCCGGTTTCTCTCGCGGGCAGGCCTTCAGGGCTCCGTCCACAAAGGCCGCGGGTTCTCTCCCGGGAGCTGCCGGGCTGTGCACCTCAGCGGGGCCTGGAGCCTCTGACTTCATGTCGGAGAAGGTGCAGCCGTGTCCGAAGTCACACGTGTGCACGGATGTCCAGTGTCAGCGCCGTTTGTGGAGAGACTGGTTCCGCTGAGGCCGTGGCTCCTTGGCCAGGACCCGTGGGTGCAGCGCGCGTTTCCGCTCCTGTGAGCGGCTCCAGGGCGTCCTTCCGCGGCGCCTCGCCGCCCGGATCGCGTGGTTTTGTAGACATCTCCGGGCGGGCAGCACGGCCTCTCTGCTCTGTCCACTATTGGATTGTGGGCTGTTCTGTCTTCCACCTCCATGTACGCTCTGGCGTCAGTTTGTCAATATCCATGATGTGGCTCCTGGCGTGGGGGTGTGGCCGCATGGACTCCACAGACCGAGTTGGGAAGAGCCGTCGTCCTGCCATATTGAGTCTTCCTGTCGCGGGCCTTCTGTCCTTCAGAACTTGGTGTTTTTCTCACAGAGCTCTCTCACAAATTGTCTTAGATTTGTATCTAAAGATTGCATTTGGGGGTGCCGATGCAAATGGTATTATGTCCACCGCTCTAACCACTGAGCCACGCCAGAGAGTGCGGCTGCTTTTCTGATAGAACCTGCGTGTGCCCTCCTTTTCTTTGGCTGGCCAATCTGGAGGCTTGTCGGTTTTCCTGATCCTCGTAAAGAACCAGCTTTTGGTTTTGTCAATTATCTCTATTGATTCCCTCTCAATTTTTATTAATTTCTGCTCTAATTCTTATTTTCTCTGTTGCTCAATTTGGATTTGCTTTTCTTTTTCTTTCTTAAAAATATATTTTATTGATTTTTTTACAGAGAGGAAGGGAGAGGAATAGAGAGCTAGAAACATCGATGAGAGAGAAACATCGATCAGCTGCCTCCTGCACACCCCCTACTGGGGATGTGCCCGCAACCAAGATACATGCTCTTGACTGGAATCGAACCTGGGACCCTTCAGTTCACAGGCCGACGCTCTGTCCACTGAGCCAAACCAGTTAGGGCTGGTTTTCTTTTTCTGATTTCCTAAGGTGGAAGCGTAGAGTATTGATTTTAGTTCTTCTATTCTAATGTGTGCGTTCAGAGCTATGCGTTTTCCTCATAGCATTGCCTGTCCAAGTCGGATAAGTTGTATTTTCAGTTTTACTTCATTAAAAATACTTAGAAGTTTCTCTTGAGATTTCTTATTGGGCCCATGTGTTACTTAGAAATGTGTGGTTTAGTCTCTGTATATTTTGGGACTTTCCCAGTTATCTTGCTATTACTGATTTTCCAGTTTTAGGAGTCAACACATTTGCCTACTATTTTAATTGGTTTGTTTTGGAATTGTTTGAGTTATAAGATTTATTTGTATATTTTGGATACAAGTCCTTTATTAGGTATGTGGTTTGGAAATATTCTCTTCTGGTTTGTGGCTGGTCTTTTCATTCTCTTAATTTCTGGTGTGTTTATTTTCCTGATGGGAGGGATTCTGGTCCCTGCTATTACTTCTGCCAGAAGCTGAAATCTAGGCTAATGGTTTTTTATGTTCATTTCGGATCCTCTTACTTTTCAGGATTGTCAAGTTGTTGATCTGTTTAGGCATTGGTTCTCTTGTTTTTCTCTAAGTGTAGTGCCAACACTTCCGCAAATGTAGCCTTCCTAACCATTCCTCTCCCGAGTTATGCCTCACTTCCTTTGCCGGATGGCGTGGCCAGCACTGTCAGAGCAATGGGGCTCATGGGCACCTGCCTGGTATTTGCCTACACCAGGTAACATATGGGTTCTGGGTTTAAGAGGTGTGTGTGTGTGCGCGCGCACGTGTGTGTAAAATCATGTCACAGTACCCATCAGTTCCTTCTCCATTCGTCTGCAGATGTTAATTTCCTGAAGGCCTTTAGTTGTCCCTAGAGGTCACCCAAAACCATAGTAACGAGCTTTCTGATGTTGAGCTGTCTTTGCGACCTTACACCCCACATGGGTGTCATACCTGCTTTTCCGTGTGGTGTTGGGCTGTGTGTGAACGTGCTGTGTAGGATTTGAGGGCTGATGCTTCAGTGAGATGAGTCCTGTAGCTTCCTCGTATTGCGTCTGAGTATTAAATGTTTAGATGCTGATGCTCAGTGTTTACCTGCGTATCGCCACAAATCCACTTCTGCAAATCAGATGTTGTAATGCAAGTTCTGTCACCTATCATTATTATTATTATTTTAGTTAAATCTCACCCGGGGATATTTTTTCCATTGATTTTTAGAGAGTAGAAGGGAGTGAGAATGAGAAAGAGACGGGGAGAAAGAAACACAGATGTGAGAGAGACACATAGAGTGTTTGCCGTTGGCACCTGCCCGGCCAAGGCTGGGGGTCAAACAAGGGCGTGTGCCTGGGCTGCAGGTCCTGTCCCCGAACCTGGTCCTGATTCGGCAACCAGCTGATGTGTCTCTGTCATCTCCTCCTCCTCCTCCCCCTCCCCCTCCTCCTCCTCCTCCCCCTCCTCCTCCTCTTCCCCTCCTCCTCCTTCTCCTCCTCCTACTTTTCCTCTTCCTCCTCCTCCTCCTCCTCCTCCTCCTCCCTCTTTCCCTCCCTTTTTCTCTTACCCCCTCCCTTCCACGATCTCTAAAAATCAACAGGAAAAAATATCCTCACTTGAGGATTAAAAAAAAAATGTCTGCTCGATCAGTGCTTTTTTCCCCTTGTCATTTTTATCCTGTGTATTCTGAGTCCTCACCTTTTTACTTGATTAGTTAGTGGTTATATATTTTTTGGAGATTTTTAATTAAAAAGCAGCATTTTAATTCATTTATTAGTCCTATGTGTTTTCTAAAGTAATTCTTTCCAGCTGTACTGTGTGTGTGTGTGTGTGTGTGTGTGTGTGTCCTTTTATTTATTTATTTACCTCTTCACTCCCAGCCCGGAGGCCGGAGCGGGGATGCCATCAGGCAGGGTTCCCTCTGTGCCTGTGGGTCACTGTGTTGCTCCTTTTCTAGTCTCTGCAGACTTGGTTTATTTCATTCTTTACTTTGTATTATTGGTTACTGCAGGCTGTGCGTTTCCCTCCGATCCCTGATTTAACTGGAGCCCATAGACTGTGGCCTCTGGTGACTCTGTTTCATCACATGTTAAAGAAGTCGTGCAGTGTGGACTGTGTTTCCCCTGGTGTCTGTGGGCCCCTGGGCTCCGACGTGGGGTTCTGCTGTTTGACTCGAATTTCGGCCTTTCCTTCCCTTCCCCCCTCTGGCCTGTGGTGGGGACCCCTTCTCTGCCCGCTGTCCGTCTGTCCGTCACCCTCACGTGGGAGGCTGGGCAGTAGTTCTGTTTTCGATTTTAGGTTCTTCAGTGGATGTGCTTCATCAGACTCCGCTGTGTTTCCCCTTTCTGGAGTTTTGTGTT